CCCGTGGTGGCCTCTTCGGGAGCAGCCTGACCTCCCCGAGGGGTGCTGGCTCCTGGGAAGCACAGGGGCAGCGAGCTGAGGGCAGCTTTCTGCTGAATGGACGTGTTGCCTCCAGCTCGGAGCCCCCCCAGGGCTTGGAGAGGAGCTTCTGAGCCCCAGAGAGGTCAGGGGGTCTGTAGGGCTGCCCGAAAGCCCCCGTGCTGGAGCCTCTGCCTTGCGGGGTCCCGGCTCAGGGTGGGCTGACCTCCCTGCCTGAGCTCTGCCGTGGCCCTCGGGCTGCTGCCAAGAGCCAGCCCATGGGCCAGCCCCGGGACTCAGAGGTGGCCCTGGAGGAGGAACGTCTGCGTCAGCTGCTGATTATCTTAATGGGATGAGAAGACTGGGCGGGAGGCAGCGGCGTAGGCAGATGACAGCTCTGCTCTGCTCTGCCTGGGTGGGTCCGTGTCCCCGTTCCCAGGAGGAGGAGGAGGAGGCCAAAGGTGGCTCCCTGCCCCTCGGGGCCTGGCCAGGGCCTCCCTGCTCCCCGCTGCGCTGCCGGCGTGGGTGAGGAGCCGGGGGGACAACAGCAGACTCGCTTCCCCGGGGGGGCCAGGCTCTGGGAAGCACAGAGCACCCCCAGGGAACAGAGGGCAGCTTCTGCTGAATCACTCGGAGCAAAGTGCCCCATCTGCATCTCCGTGACCCAGAAAGGGACTGGAGAGAGCAGGCTCCTGGGCGCTGCCTGGCAGGGAGCCCGCAGCAGGGGCAGAGCTGCTGGCTGCGTTTCCAGGGGCACCCTGATGGGATGGATGCTACTTTTAACTCTGCTTTTTGGCCGTGGAGTGCCTGCACATACTCCAGCTGCCCTGGGGCTGCCCTCCTTTGCCCAGAAGGAGGGCACGGGCATCCTAGTCTTGAGTTAAAATCATTCACATTAAGAAATTGAACAAAAGAAAACAAGGGAAAACCCCTATAGCTTTGCATTTATAGAAGACTGTCTCAGCCTACCCTTGGTATGCAGACAGCAGCCTGGGAATTGTCCCCTACGTCAAGCCTAGAGCAGCTCTGTCCTCTGGGAAATTATCCCGCCCACAGACCTGGATGCCACCCTGGGCTAAGGCAGAGAGTTTGGGCACCCTGGAGAAGAGGAGTTGGAGGGGGATGGAACTGAACCTTCCACTGCCCATGGGGCTTACAGGGACCGTGGAGCTGGGCACTTCTGGAAGAGCACAGGGACAGGGCAAGAGGCCACAGATACAGGCTGCAGCAAGAAAACTTCCAGCTCAGTTGAAGAAGACAAGTTTTCCCCTGTCAGAGTTGTTCAGCCTTGCAGAGTATCCAGGTCTCCATCCTTGGAGATCTTCAAAATTGAGTGGGACAAGGCCCACAGCAACCTGACCTGGCTCTGCAGGCTGCCCTGCTACGACAGGAGGGAGGACAAGGAGGCTCAGTGCTGTGGATCATTCTCCACCTCAGTCCCTGGCATCTGTAGGGATCTTCATCCAGCTTTACAGCATCATCCACAGCACCCGAGCCTCCATGGTGAATGTGTATTGAGTTACTGTAGGGATGAAAAGCACCAGGCTGGACAGACCCCTCCTGTACACAGCACGGCCCCTGCTACATGGGAATCACCTGGGGGATGTCCTCAGAGCAGACACAGGTCTGTGCTGGGGTCCCCCAAGACTTCCCCCAGCAGAGCATGCACCCAGCAACGAGCCCACCCTGCGAGCAGAGTGTGAGTGGCTGATGGAGCGAGGGACAGGAGGCTCAGGGGCAGTCCTGGGGTGCAACTCCTCCTGAGGGACCCCAGGCTCCTGCTGGCTGCTGTGGGAGGATGAGGGAGGACACATGAGATCCCCAAAGGCTCTCTGCTCTGCAGGTTGGGGCGGGTGGAGCTGCACGGATGACGCCAAGGCCCAGTCTGTCGGTGCTCAGAACCTGGCCACCCTCCTGCTCACCCTCAGCAACCTCATGTTCCTGCCAGCAATAGCAGTTGCCACTTATCGCTACTACCTGGTGGAGGCCTCTGTCTACACCTACACCATGTTCTTCTCCACGGTAAGGAGTGCCTTTTGTTGGGTCCCCCACCAGCGCCCCCTGAGCATCAGGAACGCTGCATCGCACTGAAGCCCTTGGTGGAGCAGCCTGTCCTGGAGCTCCACAAGGAGCTTCTGGGATCGTTGGACAAGCACCTCCATGGAGACGTCCTGCCCCTTCAGGGCTTGGTGGGAGGGTTATCTTCACTGGGCTCTTCTGCCCACGCTGCGGGTGCTCGTGTTTGGGGTGGGAGCAGAGGTGGGGTTGGAGTGTTGCACACTTGAGGGGTGCTGTCCCAGGAGCTCTGGGCTGCTGCTGGGAGGCTGCAGGTTGGTGGCTGTTCTCCTCTGCTTCCTGTAACACCCTGGTGGTCTGGTGGAGCTTCTCAAAGGCGTCACCAGGATGGGTGCTGGCTGCCACGGGCCGAGTCTTCTCCTGCCTCTCCCTCCCATAAAAGGCACGTGGTGGTGCTGGAGTGACACCAGTCACTGCTTTTGTTCTGGGTTTTTTTGGGGCTCTAGTTCTACCACGCGTGTGACCAGCCGGGCATCGCGGTGCTGTGCATCATGGACTACGACACGCTGCAGTACTGTGACTTCCTGGGCTCCGTGGTGTCCATCTGGGTGACCATCCTCTGCATGGCCCGCGTGAAGAAGATCCTGAAATACGTGAGTGTCAGGTAACCCCACGTGGTGGGGCCAGGCCTGAGCCAGCCAGGCCATGCTGGGACCTCTCATGGCTGTGTGTTGGTGACAACGCCCGTTTGTCACCCAGCGGCACCCTGGTTTTAAACCAGTGGGTTGTTTTGTCCCAGGAGTTTGGATCATACCCTGCATGCCTGTAGGGACTGGGCCTGAAGGGACTGAGATCTGTGGGAGAGGTCTGTGGGTCCCGTGGTCGCTCCTTCTGAAGGTGCTGCTCCCGAGTGCTGCGTGCGTGCAGGGCTGGGTGGCCAGGAGAGGTCCTCCCTGCCTTGGGCGTGGTTGGCTCTGCTCTGGCAGCAGATGGGCCTCTGACATTAGTGGTGGTGTCCCATTCCCAGGTCCTTTTCATCTTGGGGACTCTGCTAATCGCCATGTCCCTGCAGCTGGACCGCAGGGGGGTGTGGAACATGATGGGCCCCTGCCTCTTTGCCCTCGTCATCATGATCGCGGCGTGGGTAAGTGAGGGCAGCCAGGCAGGTCCTGCTGCCCCCAGCTCCCCTCGGGGCAGTGACGGTGGTAGAGCAGACCCCAGGCTGTCCATTTGCTCCTGCCTGAGGTCCTGCTTGGCTCCTTAACCCTTCTGTGCTCTCACCCGTGCAGGTTCACCACG